AGCTTCATCCCGTGTGCTTTGGACCTGCCTTTTCCTGCCTTTTCTGTAACTTTCCAAACTCCTTTTCCTGCCTCAAAAACTTTTTTGAACACACATTCATCTGAATCTGCATCTTCTTTATTTGTGTCTCCTTTTTTTTTAAATGTCTATTTTGGTTAATTTCATTCAATTCTTTTTCGCAACCTCTCTTCCTTTTCTTAAGTTCTGCTCCTCTTCTTTTCTATTGTTATCTCTTGTCTCATGTTCCTCCGCCTCGCCCTACCCACATGGCCCGTCTGGTTCTGATGACATCATAGCCTGGGAACCAGCAGGGTGAGGTCATCAGAGGCTAAACGCTGCGGTGTGTTTGTCAGTGTGTGTCCTGTTTATGCATGCAGACGTAATGCCAGATGTGTGTGTGTGTGTGTGTGTGATCTGTATGTGTTAATGAAAGGGAAGCAGTGCTCTGGTTACTCAGCTCTTTTGTGGTTCACATGTTTTTTAAATTTTTCTTCAGCTGTTTGTTCATAAGCAGCTTTTTTAACTCAAATGTGTTCTATTGAAAGCTTGTTGACCCCACATGTAGATTTGTACATGTAAATATTTTGTCTCATTTGCTTAAGATGCCACAAAGAGAACTGACGAGCCCGTCTGGATACTCATGGAGCATTTAACATCTCTAAGACCTTAATTAAATCTACCTCATGAAAATTGCCTCTTGCTTAATGGAAAACTGTGTTTGCTCATCTTGTGGCGTTCCACAGAGCTCAAGATTAGGCCCACTTTTGTTCTCTATTAAAGATTTCTTTCTTGGCTTTTCATGCCTTTTTATTGTAGAGACAGGACAGTGGATAGAGTCTGAAATCAGGGAAAGAGAGTGGGGAATGATGTGCGGGAAAGGAGCCACAGGTAGGATTTGAACCTGGGCTGCCCGCTCGGAGGACCACAGCCTCCATACATGGGGCGATCGCACTAACCATGGCGCCACCAGTGTCCCTTGTTGTTCTCTATTAAGTTGCTACGGCAAACCTTTTCAATGCCAAAACTTCTCTAATTATTCGATAAATCTCTAATTCAGTTTCAAGTAATCCCATGTTGTCCTTTGTTTTTAAATGCAATCCTAAAAAACACTGCAATAACTCAAATCTAGGCAAATGTATTTGCCTAATTATATAAAAAATATCTCATTACACTTTTTTTAAACCACTTTCACCCAACAAGTCCAGATAAAAACCTTATTTCAAGAGCTGAAACATAAAAAACAAGTCTGAAATGCTTGTAATAATTACGAATATATCTGCCAATAAGTCAAGTACATTGTACTTGTGGATTTTTTCAACTAAATTTGAGACAGTAAATCTCATTTCAAGAAAGTCGACAAGTATATTCCCTTCCCGATTGGCCAACTTTTCTTTTCTTTTTTTAAACTTTCACAAGCAATTCAGACCTCAGTTTTGCTTTTAAAAGTTGAAATATGATTTTTATCTTGACTTCAATCAATCAGTCTTTATTTGTAGAGCAGCAATTCATAACAAATGTTGTTTCAAGACACTTTACAAAGAGCAGGTAAAATACCTTACTCATTGTTATTTTACAAAGACCCAACGTTAATCCATCATGAGCATGAAGCTACATTTATCAGATTTACAGTGGCAAGAAAAAACGTCCTTTAAGAGGCAGAAATCTTCGGCAAAACTAGACCAACTTGTCAGGTGTCTTTATAAGAAATGTAATTAGATATCTTACAAGAAATTAGACAAATTCACTTCCAAAGATAGTGTTTTTGCAGCGCAGTGTAAGTTATGGATACTTTCTATAGAGGTCGGAGGAGAGGAGGAAGTTGTGTCACTCGTCTGGAGTTGTCAGAGAAATCTGTGAGGCTGAAATCTGGTTTGAGTTTGTGCAGCTCTTGTTTTGCCTCTGGTTTGATCAACTCTCCAAGGGAGGTTGGGGGGGGCAGTAAATGAGTTAAATCATTTGTCATGCTCAGACACAAACTGTCTGAATGACTTGGTAGTAGATTTAAAGTTTGGTTTGGCTTTCACATACTTGCATGTAAATAGTTGTAAATATATAACTCATTCTTCCAGAGGGGGCTTCCTGGTTTTGTTTTGCATTTTCATTGAGCTGACATCATAAATCCAGCACATGACTGCTGAGTTGTACAGGAGTGCCTGAAACTGACATTAAAGTATCACCTCAGTGGCATTATGGTCTTTTGGTGTCCCTCATTCCCATTCTTGTGAACACAATATCTCTGGAACACCAATAAAGTTATTTTTCAAAATTTGACACAAACATAGACTCGACCTTCATAATGAACTGACTAGATTTCAGTGGTCAGATATGACGCTGGGAGGTAAAGGTCACTGGGAAGTAAAGGCCACTGGGAAGGAGTAATACCCCCACCCTTGTGAAAGCAGTGACTTAGTGGCACCTGGTAAAAGTTTAATTACACCTGGTTCTGGTTTCGTTTCTGTAAAGACCTTGTTCCACCTTTTTCAAAACCCAAACATCCATTATAGTAGAGCTTATCTACACTGCTATCGAGTCTTGTGAGTCCTGTAACGTAACCTTATATCTGGAGTTGAATCCCATCTTTTAAAGGAGACATATCATGAAAAATCCACTCCTGAGTTTCTACAGACCCACAAAATGTTAAATAAACCCATCCAGTCCTTTGTTTGTGGTCTGCATAAGTCTTACAACACACAGAAAAATGCTCAGTTTCAAATTTGCTCTCCTTGTGATGTCACAGTGGGATTCTGGTAAAAATAGATCCTGAGTCCTGGATTAACTGGACACCTTCATTGACCTTTTTTTGTTTAGTTTTGTTCTTGGTTCATTCACTACTTTGATTCTTTCTGCATGAGGCTGAAAGACATGAGAGCAGCTTGTTTCTTCTTCTTTGATCTTTCTCTCTTCATCTCTGCAGCTGTTTGAATCCCACCAGCAAGCAGATTAAAGAGAGAGAGAGAGAGAGTCTGAATGACATACAATCTCTGTCTCGTTCGCCCCTCATTAACCAAACCAAAGCCTCCTTCTCGCTCTCTGTAATCTGGTTCTTTTTTGGTGGGCTCTCCCCCGGAGCCGCTGCTGCATGACTCATGTGACTCTTATTAGGCTGCACCGTTATTACAGCAATGCATCATGCGGTGATGTCATCAGTGGGTGCCACAGTTTGGGAGTGGTGACATGATGCTATGGGGGAAGACTGTGGACTCTGGAACAGGGGTCACATTATCGACCTTTTAGAGAAGATTTTCAGTGAGCGATGAATTTAACTGAGGAGACCTAAAGGGGCAGTACACCCAAATGATTAGAAACATACTTATTACTAACCTCTAGTCATACTGAGCATTAGTGATGAAATCTCCACCCCCACCCTAATATGGGGGTGGTGGAATTTTGGATGACAGACACAGTATTTCCACATTACTCTGAATCATTCAAAGAGCATGATGTCAAATATGTCGATAGGCACAATTTCTGCAATTGTATCTGTTTATGTTTTAAGGTGGAATAACAGGAGCTAAAACGTCAGATAAAGCGAGTCATGTGACTTCTCAGTTCAAGTTTGACCTGGGTTAGTGAAATGGTGTGTAGCACCTTTCACACATGAACTCCTGAAAAGTTTCAGGTTTCAGGACAGGCTTCCCCTGAAATCTCCCCAAGTTGCTCTTTCACACATGTTCCCAACAGTGGAGAGAGTTCTCCGTCGTAGAGGAGGGGGGAGGGGCCTCAGCAGGCAGGACCTGATGATAAAAAGACGCCAATCTTTACAACACGTCCAAGATGGCCGACAAAGCAAAAGAGTCTTGATGCACACAGGTTATAAACCAAAGAATAGACAATTACAAACGGGCAAGCAGAAGAGAGTAATGGTGCGTTCCATTTATCTTGGATATCGGAGCTGGGAATGACATCACACCCAAGTTAACCACGTTCCTGCTGTGAGTTGGCAACAAGGCGGAAAAGCAACATGGACGCCTCCAAGAGTACCTTTTGTTTTTGTTAGCTGATACCAGACGATAACGACACTATGTGAGAGTTTGCACATTTTTGAATTCTGATATTGTGAATCCACATACTTATGTATAAAAAAATTCATGTGATGGTGGTCTTAATTAGTGGAGAGTTATGATGTAATCAGGCTAAAAGCACAGCATTGTGTGTGTGTGTGTGTGTGTCTGTGTGTGTGTGTGTGTGTGTGTGTGTGTGTGTGTGTGTGTGTGTGTGTGTGTGTGTGTGTGTGTGTGTGTGTGTGTGTGTGTGTGTGTGTGTGTGTGTGTGTGTGTGTGTGTGTGTGTGTGTGTGTGTGTGTGTGTGTGTGTGTGTGTGTGTGTGTGTGTGTGTGTGTGTGTGTGTGTGTGTGTGTGTGTGTGTGTGTGTGTGTGTGTGTGTGTGTTTGTTACTTTCCTTGGTGCGTTGAGTGAAGTTTTCGTCAGTAGCTGAGGGTGTGTGTGTGTGTGTTTAAATTAAGTGTTTGTTGAGCGGTGGTTAAAGGTTATGGGAGGGAGATGTGTGTTTGTGTCGCTTTTGTTCCATTGCCACCATGCAGTGGGTGCTCCGAGGGGAGCGGGTGATAAATGATGTGTGTGTGTGTGTGAAATGGGGGGTTTGTGGGTGGGGTTATGATCTCACCATCCAGGAATGTGTGTGTGTGGGTGTAGCGTGGGTCAAGCCCTATGTACACACACACACACACACACACACACATGGTACCTTCACATCCTGTTTACCACTGCAGGTACCTCCTGTCCTCCTTTCCTTCCTTCATTTCACTTTTCCCCACCACACTTTTTTTTTTAAGGTTAATTAGTTTTGACACCTCTTCCGGTCGTGTTCACTGCGAGGCTGCTGAGTTTGCTTTTATGTCCTGCTTTCCTCGGCCCCCCCGATATTTGTGCTCGTCTGGCACTGACCCTCAGCAGCGCTCATTCTCTTCTTCTAAACCCCATACATGAAAATCACCTCCAAAAGTTGCATGAGAGTTACTGAGGCCTCTTTCTTACCTACAGGAGCAAGAAGTCTGGGGCGCACATGGCCTAGCGGTTTGGTCCGCCCCATGTACGGCCGTGGCTTAACGAGTAATCAACGAGTAATCAACAAGTTATCAGAGTTGACGAGGATCGTTCAGAGAAAACATAACAAACACTACCACAAGAGTCATCGACCTTTCTGGAACCGAGTGTCTGCTTCTCTCTGAAGAACCTGACCTGCTGTGGACTGAACCCACATGAGAGATTTGACATTTTTTGGGGCCTTTTGGCCGTTTATTAGACAGAACAGCTCAAGAGAGACAGAACATTTTTTGGGGTAGAGAGAGTAGGGGATGACATGCAGAAAAGGGCCGAGGTCGGATTAGCAATCAGAGTCTTCGAAGTTTTATTAGTAAGTTAAATGTGTGTTTTTGTTGGAGGCAGGAAGTCAATACCATGGCTCCTCCAGCTGATCCCTCTGGCTTGAAATGACGCCCGTCATGGAGGGGATTTTGATTTCACCTTTGTCCAACAGGAGGAGGTGTTAATGTGTTGTCCCAACCCTCTTAATTCATCAAATATAGAGCTCCAGGTCATTCATTTCTCATCATAATTGGAGAGTAAGCGTTGACTCATTAAAACTTCCTTTGTTGTCACAGATTATTTGTAAAGCACTTTTCAGTGAAGCCCTGAAGAGTCCCGCCTCCTCTTTCATTTAAAAAAGCAGATTAGGAACCGGTGGCGTGCTGCTGCAGGAGTGCTGATGGTAAATGTTTGTCAGGATGGCGGTCGGCTGACATCCGCGTGACGATCGGCCTCAGGCGTGGACCGTTCTGTTCTGTTCTGCAGTAAATTGCAGGTTAGGAAGCTGAACATGTGTGTTTGTGAGGTGGTGATGTAGTCATCAGCGAGTGCAGAAACAGCTGTTGTAAAAATGGGAACGGCAGACGTTGTTGCCTCTGAGGGGGAGAGAGAGAGAGTGAGCTACAGTTACCTGAGAGAGTGTTCTAGGTATCTCACCTGTAGGCAAGGTATGCCTGGTTTTACAGATGAATGTGTTTACATTGAGACAGATCTTTTATATCGACCACACCGAGGGAGGAGGGGGGTTAACATTCTTGAAGAAGGCAGCTTCACACCTGTATGTGTGTAACAGAATCAGAATCATGAGGTGAGAGGATGTTGACGCAGCGCAAACGGTTACCTGATTGACTACAATGGAGAAAACACAATTTCTCACAATCTGAAGAAAGTCCAGCCATTACAGCTTCCATCCGTTAATCCATTATCTTTAGCTCACATATCGAGACAGACGATCACATTCACACCTACGGGCAGTTATAGAGTCACCAGTTAACCTAACGAGCATGTCTTTGGACTGCGGGAGGAAGCCGGAGAGAACCCACACACGCACGGGGAGAACATTCAAACTCCACCCAGAGAGGCTCCTGTCAGACGGGGATTCAAACCAGGAACCTCCTCGCTGTGAGGCTAACAGCACTAACCACTGCACCACCTTTACAGCTTCAGACAGAAAAGGTCTACATTAGCAGCAGACGGCCTCCAGTGATATTTTTGACCACAATGTGATGTCATTTCTTGAAGTAAAAAAAAACCTGTTTTTATTTCAAATTTTCCTAATTATACACAAAACAATTCTGAATTAAGATGCATGTAAAAATAAAACAAAACTCCAAAAGATGTCCTGAAATGATCTGCATTTGTGAACACAGACGGCAAGTTTATTCACCTCCTTTTTTTTTGTCTTCTTCCTGCCAGCCCACTGATCACATGAACTCGTCTGAACAGGCGCCGTTGATTACATTGAGCAATCCTGCAACCATTCCGGTAGTCGTGCTTTAAAGCGAAGCTGCTTCATACTCTTTTTATTCTGTCCCCCGTATGTTCCTCTTCACTCATTTGTTGAGCCTGCGCCAGTGTCCCGCTGTGAGTCGTTTGTGTAAACACTGACAGACGTCAGGAGGATTTCAGTCGCAGCATGTCTCAGAGTGCAATATGTGGAAGAAAAGGTTTTACAGCAGTTAGTCATACTCTGAATATTTTTATTAAGATGTAGTCACTTTGATGACCGACAAAGATTGATTGATGAGCGGAGTGCATCTCCATTTTGATGGTGCGAGGGAGGTTGTTGTCAAAATCAGATTTGTATAAAGTAAAATCATAACACGCTCATTGGACAGTTTATACAAACTAAGGTGTGTGTAGGCTTGTTCTGTGTGGATTTTATCATTCGAAAAAAGTTAAGCCACATTTTTTTGGGGGGGATTTGGTCCTTTGGGGGTCTCAGCTTTTCTGACATAGAAGTAAAAAGGTTGGGAAACATTACCCTTCATTCTGTAAGGCTGCCCATGAAAAAAATAACGACCTCAGTCGACTAGTATTTGATTACGCTGTGAGTCCACTGGTAACTGTTAACAACTCTTTAGACTGCATAAACAGTAAAGATTCTTAATGAGTGGGAACAACCAGCATGAGACTGAACATTTTATTTTATTTCAGTACAGTTAAACATCGACCGGCGGTCTCTCCCCTCCTCATTCATTCATTTGAGCTTAAATCCATTCACAAACGGTCTCCGTTTAATTCAACGTCCCGGATCGGCATCAGATAAACAGGGCCTGTGCCTCTTGAGCGGCCGATACCTGCTGATTTGTACATCCGTTGCTATGGAGACGCCTCAACACAAAGAGCAACAAGGACACTGATGAAGAGGTGGGGGCTGGGAGGTGTTTAAGTCTGTATTTAAGAGAGACAAAGAACGAGGACGGAGGGAAAGTGAGGGAGAGCGATGAAGAGAGAGAGAGAGAGAGAGAGAGAGAGAGTGTGTGTGTGTGTGTGTGTGTGTGTGTGTGTGTATAAAGGTGAGTCAGGTTTGCGCTAAATGCCTCTTATCAGCGGGGCACACCTTGGTTCTGGTGCAGGAAGTTACATAATGGGCAAACAGCAGAGCACACAAATACCTGCTCACTGATCCAAACAGTCAAATGTACGATCTGCTGAAATGAACCAACCTGTAACTAATCCAGCGGTTTATTACCACACGATGACTAATGACCCAGATGTAAACATGTAAACATGTCAATATATGTCAACAGAAAAGAGGGCTCTGGTTCAGTTATCACCCGGACCATAAACGGAGAAAGGCTGCACAATATGTCCAGTTTTTAAGATATATCGATGTATTTTCAAACGAGATATAGAAGAACACGTTATCGTTCGTGCGACTTCTTGATCCAGTAGATGTCGCCCTTGAGCACCAGCATCAAACCAAAACAAACTGCTGTTAGGCCAATCCTCCTCCATACTGAAGCCTCCGCTCTCCTCCAGAGACACACCTCCAACCCCCATCCACTTACGTTGACACAAATTAGTTCAACGCAAGTGGCGCACAAAATTGTCCTTAGTGTCCTGCATTGTTGTGTTAGCATGCTAATGTTAGCGCTCTTTAGTTAGCTCGTAGCTTCAGATTGCATGTAGCCTACATTTACACAGAATGAGCGTGATCTGAAAACTCTTACTAACATCAGTGAGTATATTCTATGTGCACATTCTTCCTTTGATAACTTTATACGTTTCTTCTGTAGAGCCGCCAGTTTGACTATTTCTCCCTCTTCCTCCCCCGCCTCTCTCCCTTTGTGAGTTAAACTTAAGAAACAATTCTATTTAAGGAGCATTTGTAATTGTTATACATTTTTATTTAATAAACAAGGACGCAGAGTGTGGCCGTTCATTAAAGCTTAAAGGCTTCATTCAGATCAGCTGATTTGATTGAATGTCTGTTGAATGTTTGGATGTTTATCTGAGCCGGGCGGGGTCAAGTAGGTCACAAATGATAGGACTGATAGTGAGAGGCCTTATCTGTCCAGGTGTGTGTTGTTAAGTTTTTTTTTATGGATGTGCTCTATAAACCAAATCCAGGTCATAATATCAGCTCTTTTCATTTAGATCTACGTTAGGACTGGCTGTTAAGTTGGTAGAGAGAGAGAGAGAGAGAGAGAGAGAGAGGATCAGACGTAGAGCAGCAGGAAACACACACACACACACACTCACTAACACACACACACACCCCCACTTGAACCTGGATTCCACAAATACTCTCGTATTGTTGTTATTTTGTTTTTCTTTTGTTGTTTTAAATATTCACATTAAACACATCTCTCTCTCTCTCTCTCTCTCTCTCTCTCTCTCTCTCTCTCTCTCTCTCTCTCTCTCTCTCTCTCTCTCTCTCTCTCCCCCTCCTTTTGTTTCATTCTTACTCTCGTCTCTTATCTGAACAATAGGCTGCCATGGCGATAGCCTCGTTACTCACAAAACTGTGTCGGCAAGGACACCATCTCACACACACACACACACATAGTTAAGTTCTCTGTGTGATGTTCTGAACAGTTTTATGAAATCAAGTTAAAAGACGAGAAGTCATTTAAGGTTAAACAACCAAACTAACGTCCATCTCTGACCTGGATTCATAAACTAAAGCCGTGGTCACACTCCCAGGTGTCGGCCCCTTTGAAGGGCCCTAAAACAATTCTTTAATACCTAAAAAAATTAAACGGGATAGGAAGGCAGCACATCTTTACAACACAGATTTGTGATTATGCTGCATGGGTTGCTTTTCAAAAAATTAACTTAAAGTAGTGATCTGGAGGTCAGCTTTGCTCTCTTTGGTGCCATCTACAGTGATAAGTGGGTACTGCAGGCGTTGTTGTTTTTACTTTTGAACTACATCGCCGATACAGTCTTTGCTATCGATTCAGAAATGGAATTCCGAAATGGAGGAAGCAGCACATGATTGAAACTTAATTTTCTGCAAAAAAAATCCTACAAAAGATTCCCTGATCTCAATCTTCAGATCCTAAAGCTCCTTGAGAGAGAAGGGGGAGGAGCTTGACTCAGGCTTCTGTAGTCAGCCCACAGGTGCAGCAGATCACAGGTTGAAGAACGTGTGGCGGTCAGGTCGTGCCTCAAAGAAAACAAAAGCAATGTCAAGTTTGCACATAACACAAGGCGAGTAACCGCACCCTGCCGAAACAGCCTTATTAAAAGTTTTCTACGCCAAAGAGTCATTGTGAGTTACACGCGCGACTATATTTGTCAGAAAACACGACTTATGCATGTACAGGACAGGATCAGCGAGAAATCGTCCATGTTTGTCCTTAGTGTGGAGCTAAAATAGACAACCTAACAGTAGCTTTAAAGAAGTGACTCGATTCTTTCTTGGGACATCTGTAGACCTGAGGTTGGACGAGGGCTCAAAATCTTGATTTTGTTTCCGTCATTATTTATGAAACTGGGATTTCTAGATCTGATCACATACGATAGACTAACTCAAAAGGTAACAGCTGGGATAAAACGGGACATTACTCTGATTTAAAGGGTCGATACCTCTGCAATG